AAAAAAAAAAAGGCTAAGATGCTTCAAGGAAAAAGCTTCATTTCTGTAACATTTCCTTAGGTGGAGTCTCTCCCTCCAGGTGCTGCTGGAGCCAGAAGTTCATGGCACCAGCCTTACCTAAGGAGGGCATGTGAGCACCAAATACTAGGGTGATACATTTTAAAAACCTATCAGTTGCTGTCCTGGGATGACCTTCCCTAGGCAGGCCGTGCTGGAGCAGATGTTCAAGAACTCCGGGGGGAGGGAGGGCACCAGCACCTGGAATCTGGCCCCACCCCCAGAGGCCTGCAGTTCCCACGTGACCACACTAGCCAACAACACAGTGCCCTGCCCAGGCCATGCTGCCTGAGCGCTTATTCAACCCTGACTGTTACTTACCAGCACGCTCCAGTTTTGCAGAACAGCTAGAGAACAGTAGCCACCACTGAAGATTGCATTAATACCCACAAGACAGATTGCAGCCGCCATCACACACCTGGGACCTGGGATGCAGAGAGACCACCCATTAATAGTGCACAGTGACCTCCTGTGGGGCTGCCTGGGTCTTGAAGACTGGCCTGTTCTAAGGGCAGAGAGCCAAAACAGGCAATGACGGGAGAGACCAAAGGCCTCTGCTGCTGAGTGGAGGATGAGATGCCACTGCAGAATGGCCTTACATACGCCGCACAAAAAGCTCTCAGCCAGGAAAACTCACTGAGGACTTGGTGGAGCAAGTCAGAGGAGGCTCCTGGGGGCCAGGGAGAATGGGGATTCGAATAAAAGCATGTGAACTCTTCATGAGGGTGCTAGGAGGCTGTGGGCCCAGCAAGGACGACTCTACCACATTCCAAAGGCTGTGGCCTAGACCCCGAGGACCATCCAAAAGCCCCACCCAGAGCAAGATCCAGAAACAACCGCCTCCAGGAGTTGCTTCGAAGCAGCAGCTTTGGTCAGCCCAAGGCCATAGGAAAACCCTTTCTGTCACAGGCACTAAGGACTAAACTTTCCTTCAAGCACTTCCTGGAAAACAAAAACCAAAAGGATGCCCACTTGTGAATGTATCTGGCTACTCCCTAGGGTCTGAGAATTTTGAAATATGAAGGTACAAAGACCCAGCAAAGAATTTGTTCCTAATATTCCTCCTGCAGGCATGGCTGCCCCCAACGCAGCCAGTTTCAGCAAAGATTCCAGTGCCAGGGAAGGAAGCCCAATTCCGTGCATGTGGACACCAGCAGTCCTACTTCCTACTAGCGTTTCTCAGATCTCCCTTCCTGCAAACAGGCCATGTCCATTATGCAAGGCTTTGAGAACTGGAGTGCATAACGTACTGCTGTGGACTGTCCAAGTTCCCTAGAAGGATGGCACCGGCTCAGCTGGCACCCTTGAGTGGCCCCACCAGGACTCCACAGGGAGCGGGACTGCTGTGCTGAAACCCAACTCCAGAATCAAGGGTGAGCTTTAAGGAAGGACTACCTTCCTAGGACATCTGTCTTCTCAAATTTAAGGAAGAAAATATTTTCCCCAGAATTTCATTATACAACATTAGATGTCATTCTAGTTTTTTTTTTTTTTTTTTTTTAAAGCAAAAGTTGGGTTATTTGAAAACAGAAAAATCATCTCTGCACACAAAACCTATCAGCTCACCCAGCCTTTCCATGCCCCCTCCACACAGGAGGGAGAAAGCCACCCAGGGCTGCAGAGCCAGCTGCACTTCCCGGGAGGCTGCATTTTTAGGATGAGAAACCTCTGGGCTTAAGCTAACCAGTGTGACTCAGCACTGATATGAATACTGGGATCCTGGGACCCTCCCTCTCATCTATGTCCCCAGGAGCACAGGGTTTTATCACTAAGCTGCTCCTGAGACCTCAACAACAGTTGTCTGCACCTGCGGGTTACCTGGGGGCCGTGACATGAGTCAGAGTCCGGCCAGGAATTGCTCTCAGGAGTCGCGGGACCCCATGGCCTGGTCTGAACACGTGAGTCCCTCTCTGAACTTCTTCCAGGGAGCAGTCAGGCAGCTCTGTTAGTGTACATGCTCAGGAGTCTCCAAGGACTCCAGCCAGACCCACAGAAAACAGACAATGGACAGGAGCAGGTGGGGGGTGGGCTGCAGCCTTCACTGCACTTGGTTGTCATGTGGTTTGCAGAGGAGCTCGGTAAGTGCTTGTGATGTGGCGGACACAGTGGTGGCTGGAGGTGGCACCCACCATGTCCACAAGACTGGCAGGGTGGAGGGTCTTCAGGCCCACCCCTACCTTTACAGCTCAGACGGGAACCATAACAGACCCCAGAACTGGAAGGAATCGCAGAACCAGGCTCGCGTCTCCTCACTGGGAAAATGGAGAAAGCTCTCTGAGGAGGGTCCTGTGTGCTCTCCCAGCAATTCCTTAGCGCCGCATGAGAACCAAGCCTGCTGCACTTCCTGTCCATTTAATTAAGATTACAGAGTTAAATATTTTCTAACCCTCACTACAGTGGAGTGTGTTCTGAAAAAGAAACCCCAAATGAAGCTGGTTCCTTCTAGGTCTTTGCTGAGTGTTACCTTCTCAGGTGGACCCTGACTGCTCTGCTACCTTGAAAGCAGAAGGCCCCAGAAGCGCTGCCCCACCACAGCGCTTAGCTGCTTACCTGGCCTTATATTTATTCCCTCAACACTATCGCCACCTAAACTATTATGTTTATTTGATTACATATTACCCATCTCCTCCCGGAGATGCTGTGGCTGCACACTGTATTAGCCTTAGATATGAGGGACAGTTACGGCATTTGTGTAGCCTTAGGTGCGATGTGCAGACCTCACAGCCTCATACTGGTTGCTGGGTGCATCGCAGTGTGGTAGTGTGACACAGACACGTGGCTCTCTTATAAGGTCAGGGTGACAGCAGGAGCCACCGCGGCAGTCTGGGCCATTCCTCCTTGTTAAGCTCTAAGCTCTGCCTGGGCACCAGCACCTAGGGCTCCCCTGAGGATGACTCCAAGCTCTAGCCAAAGACCGGTGAGGCCGTTCCACCCAAAACAGAAGGGACAAATTACTCCAAATTCTGCAGTGTTTTCTCTTGCCATTTCCTTCTCCTATTTTTTTGGGGGGGACTGTAGCAATATGTGCTTCTAATTTCTGGGCTCTGGTCCCTGTCCATGGCCAGGAAAATTTCAAGAGTCCTGAAAGAAGACCTCCCCCTACACTCCACCTGGCTTCCAGATACTGGTTCTTCCCTTTCACAAACAGTTAACTCTTCATTAACATCCATCAAGGAAAGCTGCCTAACTCTCACTGCATGCAAGGACTGACAGCAACGTTGCTCACGTTCTCCTGTTCTCAGTGTATCTGGGAAACTGACAATTTTCAATCGTGATTCTATATTCTGGGCGCTCTGGCACATGGCTGGACCATCAGCAAAACTAGTGATGCAGACACAGCCTATGGCCAGACTCAACACCATCCGTCAGCAAGAGGCTGAGCAAATTAAAATGCCAGGAATGCCCTGTTCCTGTGACTACCCCTAGCGTGCACACGCCCTGTACATGCCCTCAGCTGTGGCTCTCACAGCAGGCTGATCCTGCAGGCTCGTGCGCAGTAACTCCCCTCTGTGTGTCCACAGTTCTCTGCCATTAGAACTTAAGCACCTGAGGGGCACAGGCCTGTTTTTCATGTTCATATATCTTGCACGCAGCAGATACAACAAATGTTTGTCTAGAGAATAAAGTACTTACTTCTATTTCTAGTCTAGTCACTGATTTCTCTTTAGCACTAAGAAGTCCGAGAAGATAAATGAAAATGCCTTGGAGGACCTCATTCACGATTTGGAAGGACAGCGTCACTCCTGCTCATCTTCCGATCTGTTCTTTCCATGCCCGGAAAGCGAGTTGGGGAAGAAAGCCCTCTCTACTGAATGGAGAGAGCCATGTGAGCCTCTGCCGATGAGTGGTACGTGGTTTTCATTTGGCCTTTTTGATAGAGTTGTTCTGGTTTAAAATGTTTGTGTTAGCTCATCAGCACCACTGTTTCCAATTCTAATTTGCATTTGCCTAAGATTACACAGCTTGGATTACAGGCTGTCTTGGAAAGGACTTGATTCAAGAGACTAGAAGGAGCAGAAGTAACAGAGCTGCACTGAGCTGGTCTAACTTTAGATGGGCTGGGAGACTAGGCGTCCCACGTGCAGCAATAATGGGCGCCATTATCCATACCCCTTCCTTACCTGATCCCCACAGGCTCCGAGGCTGGAGTCTGGCCCATGGCCCAAGCTTAGCTCACCATAAATGATTCATCCACAGGAGACATTACATGTTCTTTTTTTTTTTTTTCTGGAGACACGGTATTGCTCTGTTGTCTAGACCAGGGTTTAGTGGAACGATCTTGGCTCACTGCAACCTCCGCCTCCCAGATTAAAGCGATTCTCGTGCCTCAGCCTCCCTAGTAAGTGGAGATTATAGGCACCTGCCACCATGCCCAGCTAATTTTTGTTATTTTTAGTAGCAATGGTGGTTCACCATGTTGGCTGGGCTGGTCTCGAACTTCTGGCCTCAAGTGATCCACCTGTCTCAGCTTCCCAAAGTGCTGGGATTACAGGCATGAGCCACTGGGCCTGACCCATTACATATTCTTATTTAGATCTTAAAGGGTTTTTATAAGCCATACTTCCAAAGGACAGCAATTACTGATCCTTCTTGGTAGACATTGCTGCCTTCAGAGCTCCCGCTGAAGGGTCTGTGAGAAATGATTTGGAGAAAAATTAGGTGAGCAGATCAAAACTCAGGATCTCTGTTACTGAAACCCATGCAACTGCTTCACAATGGATGTCTTCTCTGGAGCCTACATAAATTCTTAAGGGGGATAAAAAAGCCTTCCTTAGGTCCTAGGCCAACATCCTTTGCCAGGTTCTCTACAAAATGAAACTGCCAAGTTGAAGGTCATCTCTCACTGCGACTGACTTTCCTAGAGCATCTGGCTCTGACAGAAGTGGCCTGACACCCCTGCTGCTTGAGCTTCCTCTCCACTATCTGGAGGCTGTTCTTTCTCTGCTGACTCTTGGGTCTCAGATGTGCTCAGTGTGTGACTTCTCTTCCAGTTTCATGAACTTCCTCAACTGTCAGTTTACGCTGAGGGCCAGGTCAACGTTTCAAGCCATGCCCTCTCTCGTGGGTTTTGGAATTTCCAGTTTCCTCATCCTAGACACCTCCAGCTGAACACCCTACCAGCCTGTGAGAGTGGAAAGTTAAACACACTGTCATGGAAGAGGGAGATGCCCACAGCAGAGTCCGTGTGAACAGTGCCGTCTGGAGTTGTAAGGCAGTGCTGGGCCGGCAGCACCGTGGTAACGGACAGAGGTTCCTATGCAACCACATGAGTATGGCTTTGGGATCTGTGCTTAAAAGGCACATGAAGACGGAACATGACTTAACGAAATTCTGGACTTAATAGACCCTAGACTATATCTCAAATATAGTTTTCTGTAACTTAACAATGGTATTCCCTGGAGCAAAACAAACAACTCTCTTAAAAAGCAAATTTTAGAATTCACAAAATAGTTAAGTATTTTAAAAGAACACTTTTCTGTATTATGAATTGTTAACTACGAAAGGACATTTAAAATACAATTGCCATTTCCTAACACTACCATTTAAAAAGGGTACTTACACACGTGCGCGCACGTGAGACATGTAATTCAGAATGAAGGACAAACAAAAGCAGCTACAAGAAGCTACATTGTCTGGGTTTTTAGATATCATCACTGATTAATGAGCAGCATCACAGATGAACACTCATCCAAGGATCTCTATACATGGGAGCCTCTGGTTTCGTTTCTGGCTAAGAGGTTAGGATATGGTTTCCCCAAGCATGAAGCATTAGTCACTTAAGAGTCTGGGAAAAAAGGATGACTTTGTCTCAAATAAGCTTGAGAAATACCCCCTCCTCTTAAATATTCATGATGTTCATATGGTAATAAAGGCTTTGAGAATCTTTGGGTAAAGAAATTTGTTTCACTGTCTGACCCTGGAAGGATTTGCGTATGTCACCTGTGATCACCCCAGAGGACTATTATTATTTGGCCACACTCAAATATGAAATAATTGGCTTAAAACATGAAATATTTTGGGTTAGAGGAAGAATAGATACAATTTTAGCTTACTGATGCTGATATTCTAAAGCGCAGAACATTCTCTCAACTTTCCTATCCCTACTGTCAGAGGAAGAGCCGTGAATGTGGCTGGGCTATGACTGGCTGCTCAGAGACGAGTCTGTGGGCTCCTGACACGCTCGTGCTCATTACTCTCCTGTCTGGTGAGGCCTGTCCATTGCGAACACAGAAGGGGGTGTCTTCTGACCTCGGACCGGAGATCATCCAAAAAGGGCCGGCCTCCTATGTGATGAGAACTTCACAAATGAAGTCCACACGCATAAGTCCTCCCAGATCTTCAAAGTGACCTGACGCACCCGAGACTTCAGGTCAACAGGGCAACTTACCTGTGTTCAATAAACCCTAGCACTGTTTAAAAATCATATTTAATGTGCTCTTTCTTCCTTACTGACAGGGCACTGACCTGCATGAGGCCAGCTCTAGTGTCTGCCATTTCTTCAATTGTTTTCTTGTGAGAGGTCTGAAACATTTCTCCATGTAAGTGGAATCTAAGTCGACCAGGGGCCTATTCTTTCTACAGAATGCCTCTCCAGGAGTCTGTCTAAATGGCCTCAAATCATCTAACAAAAGCAGATGGACTCAGTATTAATGGTGAAAAAGAAAAGGAACATTAATTTTGTTTGGAAGTATTTTTATCTTAACAAATCCCAAGGAAAGGCCCATGACACTATGGTGGAATTGGGTGCATAGGTTTGCCATGATCTCTTTAGCATTTCTAACAGGATGAGGATCAGGCCCCTCCCTCTTTTCAGTTTTCTTCTGATTTTGAGAAGGAACCATGTAAACCAAGAGAAGGCTGATGGTGGAAGAGTCTAAAAACTTTAAGTAGACTCTCCAAATTTACATACCAAATTAGAATTTAGAAGAACAGTGCCTTGTACTTAACAAAAATTCAGTATTTCTGAATTACAGAAGGCATTTGGTATTTTATAGAAATTCTATGTTTATAGGAAAAACTTCATTTGGTAGTTCTCTGAAGCAAAGTTAGGCCTAAAATGCCAATTTACAATATTGCTTCCTTCATGATGAAAATCTTAAAGGAAAGCCTGCTGGAGCTGTGCACTCTGCCTTCAGTAGAAAATGTGGTCTTTTATAACGATTAGAACTTTGGATATGATGTATGCAGGGAAACTCATTCTCAGAAATCTCCCATAGTAAGACTCCCATGATAAACTACTGTGTAAATTAGTGGATCGCTAGTCCTGTAACTTAAGGTTTTGGTTTAATGCGGGCAGCAGGTGAACTACCATTATGTAATAAAATTTTCTGACAGCTGTTCTACAGAAACTAGCACTCACTGCTTACAGTGGGAGGCCAGGTACTGGTCTTGTAAGTTAGACTCAAACAGAGTAGCACCCGTGCCTAGGTGAAAACTTCCTCTCAGAAAGATGCAGTGCCATGTAGTTCTTCAAATGAGTTTAACAAGGTTGGACAACCAAAGGAGGTGCCTGATGTGTGGGTGCAGAGAAAGGCTGAGAGCTGTGTTCATGGCGCAGCCACCGTGTACACAAGGATAGTAGGGGCTTTGCATATTCATAGGAAACCGAGTACTTACATAGTATTCAGCAGAACTGACGGGACTTCCAGCCCTGAGAAGTAGCCTCGGAGGGAGGGAGCCAGCGCATCTGAAAAGACATGTGGGGAGAAGGCTGTGAACCAGGGCTCCCCGACACGTCCCCGTTCTCATGGAGGGTCCCACTTGCCTACCACTTCCCCACTCACACTAGCCTGTGAGGACCTCTTCCTCACGGGGCTGAAGAGCATCAGAGCAGTGTCTTGAGACATGTTCCACACCCCCTTATGAACACACGGGCAAGCTCTCTGAGGAAAGCACCCACCTCGAGACGCACCTGAGGGTCCACCAACTCCTCTGCTCTCATCCTCCTTTTAAAGGTTAGCAGCTATTTTGAGGCTAAGATCCGGCCCAGCGATTTCCTTTTCCCAGGACTAGGCTGGTGAAAGGCTGTCTAAAGGTCTTCTAAGCAGAGTGTAAAACTTATCTGCTGTGATAAGGAAGGAGCAGTTCAGGAGCCCACCCATGCCAGTGGCCTGGCTAGGACTTCACTGCGATTCTGTTCTTCTTCTTCTAGAAAAAGGGTTCTGGCTTCTTGGCACTGCGGGTGTCTATACCCCAAGCCCTCTGCTCACTCTGCTGAGGAGATAGGCCTCCAGCTTTTAGCAAGGAGCTTCCCAGGTAGGACCAACAGCCCTGTCTCTTCCATTAGCTTTCCGAAGTGGAAGGCTCGCCCCAAACACAGGTGGACTGAGCAACACTGTCCACCTGGCAATATATTCCAGGTCCTATGCCAAGGAAAACACGAAAACAAAAGGAAAAAACCCCAAAAGGGCAAGTGCACTTTGTCTTTAACAGCATTCCTCAATGGCCATGTCAGTTTTGGACAGAGGCAAGAGATGCCCGCCTCCCACTGCTCTTCTCTTCACATGGAAGTGGCATGGTCTCCCCATGACCACTGTAAGCAGCTCAGAAGCACTGCTGGGAGTGGAGAAGGTAAGGCCTATGGGGCCATGTAAGGTGATGCCCTCCTGCAGGGCGGCAGGGGAGGACTTACTCAGATGTCCAAAGGGTAATGACAAAGCAAGAGCCATTCTAGTTGAAATGGAGATGCAGGGGGTTTGGGAGGCAGCTCTGCAGGACACAGGGCTCGGAAGGGACTGACGGAAACTTCCTGCTCCATCTCCTTGTTTTACAGGTGGGGATGCCAACTAGGTCTGGGTATTCTGAATGACCATGATCACAGGGCCCAGCGGGGTCAGAATCCAGGATTAGGCCCCATGAGATCCCCTAACCTGAATCTAAAAGCACAGATGTCTGCAAATTGGGTCCTAAAGAAATCTGACACAGCACCCCGACCTTGCCCATGGTCCAAGCACCTCCCCACGGGCTTCCTCATGAGCAGTTCTTTCCTCAACGGCCTCACTGAGTGAGCAAATGTGGGCTTAGGACACACTGGAGCTTCTGCCTACAATACCACTCCCCTTAGGCTTCCTGTGCGTTGGGTCTCCTCTGGTGACCATGCTAGATACGACCAGAGACCAGATGACCAGGTAGAGCACAGAGGCTGGAAAATACACTCCTCTGGGAAGTCAGTGCAGAACAAAAGAAAGAGGGCAATAGAGGGCAGGATGGGGGTGAGGTAGGAGCAGGCAGGAAGTGGGACAGAAGAGTCCAAGAGAGGAGGGAGGGCAGAAGTGGGGAGAAGAACGAACTCATACCTACCCACGGCTCACGGCCTGGTGCATCTGAATCCACTGGCTCACTAAGCAAAGAGCAGAGTTGGAGCTGCCTTCCTGAGACAGGTGGGAAAGGACAGGGCAGGGACACAGAGCCCCCATGGCAGGTGGTGGGCTGGACACCTAAACACAGTAGAGGGGATGGGTCTGTGCGCACTGGGTCAGTGTGGAGCGCAGTGGTGCGACTGGTGTGGCCTGGGGCGCTGGGCCCTGACGAGGCCAAGACGTGACGGTGCTTCATAGGAGTCACAGGAAGGGGAGGGCTGCCCAGGGGGAGAGCTGCAACAGTGGATGGCATGGTTCTGCTTTCTGTGCAGGTGACTGCGAGAAGGAAGCCCTGTCCCAGCCTCTCCGACCAGCTCTTGCACACAGCCCCCACATTCTCACTCGCACAGGTGCCTGCAGGGTGGGGGACGAGCGTGCAGCCCGTCCTCAGGCTCTTGTCAGCCTGGTCGAGGTACACTCCAGGGTGACACGAAGGCGGGTTCCGAGCTGTGGGGTCCAGGGACTGTGCTCAGCTGAGGAGTGAGGACACCAGCAATGCAATAGGTGGCTGCTCCTCAGAGTGGATGTGGTGGTGGGTGGCAGGTGGCAGACACACAGACCCCTGAATTCATCGCTCTTGTGTCTCAGTCTAGGACACTATGTGCTCGCCAAGTGGGGGCTCTTCTCACCGCATCCACAGACACCCACGGCCGCCTCCTCTTCCAGCCCTGAGAGGCTCTGCTGCGCCCACCTTCCAGCAGAGGGCAGTGCCCCCCAGGCCAAGTCTGAGCGGGTCCTTCAGGTTCCCACACTGCAGCCAGGCAGAGCAGCAGGGATCATCGTGCACAGCAGAGTTCCGGAGCTGGCCCGGGGAACAAGCTGCTCTGCGCTAATCACTGTGTGGGGGTAACGAGGAGAGGGTTCCCTCTTAGCCCCATTTGGGCTGCTTGTTCTGCTGTGGCTTTTGGCCCCGTGTTACTCCTGCCCGTCTCCTAAGGGTTGCTTTACAATTTTTAACGGGCGGCACGGGAGGGAACCTACAGTTCCCTCTAGACTGCCTGGGTCAGGGTCCTCTCACACAGTTCAGCAGGAGTAGAGGACTCCTCATTAGAATCATGTAACAAGGGCTGGCCTTCCATGCAAGGCAGTGGCTCCTGACATATCCTCAAGCCATGTGCAGAAAGTGTACACACACACACCCCTCTTTTCTCCCTTCCCCCCTACTTCTCTCTCTCAAACGTGCACACTCAGTCTTGCACACAATTCCAGGGGCTTCTCAAGACCCTGTAAGAAAATTTAACACAATATACTTAACCAAACTGACCCTGATACTTGGTTCTGTGCCAGAGACCGCGCTAAGCACTTCACACGGCCTGTGACATCTAAGGCAACATGGACAACCCTGGGAATCTTCTCCAACAGAACTGAACAATAGTTATTACTATTACAATTCACTCCCTAGGGCCACACTGTTTGGGATTCTGCCATCGCTCTTCTTCAGGAATGCTCTTTTAAAATGCAGTGCACCCCTGCACAGCCAACACTCTTAAGTCTCCAACACTTAGCATGGTGACAGACTGGACAACAGGAGAGCACCAGATACCCAGAAAAAGAAGTAACTCAAGAGTAAAAATCAAATGGAATGCTAGAGAAAGTGGTAACCACCCATAAAAATAATTTCCATCCTCTTCCATTTATAGATGAGAAAATGAAGGGCCAGAGGATTAAATACAGACAGAATTTATGTTCCCAGTACTGATGCCAAGGACAGGAAGACCTTGACTAGTCTCGGGTGGACACCCTGCCTGAAATGCCAGCCCTTCTATGGCGGTGAGTGAGTGGCACAGGGTGAACTCTAGCCTGACAGCAATGATGTGCACGGCACTATCGCCTTTCTAGGGGCTGAATCCCACTATCATACTTGTGCTTAGAAACAGTCATGAGAAGTGCTTAGCAGGTGACTGGCTCAAATTAATGGTCACCATTGAAAGTAAACATCCGATGTTTGACTGTTTTCTTCTCTGAGGAATGAAGGGGTAACGCCTAGACCAGTGGTTCTCAGGTTCCTGGACCATCAGCATCACCTGGGAACTTGTCAGAAATGCTGAAACTCTGGGAGGGGAGTCCAATAAACTGCACTGAAAGCAGCCCTCCAGGTGATCACCAGGTACATGGTCAAGTCTGAGAGATGCTGCTCTTCATTAAGGCTTCAAAAAGTATGGCTGGAAGAACACTGGTCTAGAAACGCTCTAATGTCAAGGACATGAGAGAGAAATGCACAGTCTGGTCCCTTTAGCAGATTCTTGATACACATCAGCACAGTAAAGGCTCTGAGAAGTTCCAAAACAAACCTGTCTGACTTGATCTAGACCTGTGTTGCTCAAGTTTATCTGACTGCAGAATCTCTGTATTATATAACAACTGTGAATACCTGTGGGTGTTGGGAAATGTTGGTCTGGAAGGCCCCCTTCCAGTGTAGCATTTGGTGGATCTAAGAGGCTGGGCTGTACCATTTGTATCCTTCGAGCTGGGAGACAGACCAGTAAACCAACTAGTGCTCTGATGTCTTACCTTCATGGAGCAGCTACAGATTTTCTCACATTGCCTAATACAGATGCTGTATCTGAATGCAGGTTTCCCCTGCACCATTCAGAAGTCAGCTCTCCCTCTTTGAATAAAACAGTTAAAAACAGTAGCTTGAACAAGTTGTTTTACACAAACAATGGGAATGTTATCTCAAACTAATGGGCTAATGTTTTGAAGGCATGGATATTCTCAGGCAGGTTTTTATGACTCTCCCCAAAATGAAACCCTGAAGTCCCCTGTGGGGTTCGTTCCCGGCACTGAGCCAACTGCAGGGAACCACTCACACAGTGACTACCTACCAACAACTCTGCCCCACTCGCTCCAGACCTCAGGATCCACTTTTGGGTAGCATCACCAAATAAACCATGTCAGGCCATTACAGCAAGCTCTGTTTCAGAGGCTGCCAGGCCCAGCATAATCTGGTCCAAGAAACTCCAAACTCACTGAAGAGGCTTGGAGGGATGATGCACAATACAAAAAGATTGTCTCCCTTATGGCACTGACTGCAAGGTTCTTTTAAATAGCAGCCCTCACCTCCGTTTCTAATAAAGCACTCACCAAAACTGCAAGAACACTTTTTAGGAATTTCGATGCTGCATGAAGTGAGTCCCCCTTGTAATGGGACCACTCCTCTTCTCCCCACACCCCAGAATCGGCCGCCTGTACTCTTTCTCAGCAGACTGAGAGGCATGAAAATGTCATCAGCATTCTTTACTACCTGTCTGGCACCTAATACTCCTTGCCTAGGGCAATTAAACAAGTCACTATAACTAGGGAAAATGTCAAGACTGATGTGACTTGG